AAAGGCAACTGTACCAAATTACACTCATCTACAGACTACCAACCACAATTTCACAAAGTTCAAAAAGAGCAGTAGACGTGCATTCAGTTCACTAAAGTTAACATTTAATTAAAATGACCAAATTGTAATCAGTGACGAATGTGAGCAACGAAATAAAACAATTATCCATATCCAAACAATTAAATGAACAATAAATATTAAAAATATTTCAGAAAGAAGTAATTTACTTTAAAAATTCTAAATACATTTAAAATCTAACCCAAGGTAAGGCACGTGCTGCACAGAGGTGCTGTGCTGAACACAAGCCACATATGCTCAAGACACAATGCCACCAAGAGGAATGAATCAACATTTTGGGGAAATACGCTTCTCTATGTGATGAGAAGATTACCTCTCACTTCAAGGCTAGTTCCTAGTCTATTCTCCATGTAGCTGCGTATAGCAACACACCTTATGACCACTACCAAATTATAATTAGATGTGAAAAGTTAATTCTTATGTATGGCGCTCTCTGTCTGCAGTCATTCTGGACCGTATCCCTTGTAACCACTGGAGAGGATTCAAAACAGACACACATTGACACGCTCATGTGGGCTCTCGTCCTGCCTCATGACGTGCACACCTCGAGAAAATAATGAATTGCACATAACATTCTGCTGCAACATTGTGCAAAATCTATTTTCTCTCTCTGCCCGGACCCTGCCCTGTGAGACCTCACTATTGGATCAAGTTCATAGTGGACTTGCTGGCACCATCAGCACATTTACTCAAAGGTCAAACAGCCACCTGGCCGAAGAGTGGCACCAGTAACGGCTGTCTACCCAGAAGGATAGATGAGAATCAACTTTCAGTGCGTACTCTTTGGATGTGACTCTTGCCAGTTCAGGACAAGACATAAGCAGGTTGGCTTGACCGCAGCTGCAAACCCCCGAGTGAGGTCCTGCTCTGAGTTTCTCTGCAGCTCTGGACCCCAGTGGTGGAGAAGTTTATCTAATCAGCACAGGGGCATTTGAAGGGTGGTGAAAGGCGACGTCATCCAGCCTGTAAATGCAGATTATAAAATCAATAAACAGTGTTAAAGTATGAAATTAACAAAGTCAAAAGTCTAGTTTTAGGATATCCGAAACCATGCGGGAAACCACCACTGACAGTCCTCGGGTAAGATGGTAACCCTGTCCACTCCAGGGATGTTGCTTCAAAGTAGACCTCTGACCTCACTGGAGAGGGGGAAAAAGTGTGTGGGTTCACCCCTCACAGATAGGTTTACAGTAACAGGTGTTACAACTGACTACTTTGCATTTTTAGTAATTATTATCCTTTGGAGTATGTCATCGAACCAAAGGATTATAATAATAACAAGGAACTAGAGTTTGTTTTTATTTTAATTTACACCATGGTTTCTGAGAGCAAAATATACATTATGTACAGCATCCGCATATGTGTTTTGATTTTATGTGAATGTAAGCTTTTGCCACAGAAATTACAATTTATGACTTGGGATACGTAATAGCTAAGTCAGCCACCAATGGTGCAAATGAAGCAAGAGTTTTGGTTATTAGAAAACTGCTTAAATTGTGCACCAACTGAATATATTTACAATAAATTGCGGGGTTGGAGTAAAGTCTCCTTTTTTTTTTGAAAAATCCATTTTTATTTTCCAAACGTCAGGATGTCGTTTGTTACGTTCATGCTCAGGAGAAGCTTGTAGTTTATTTGATGCATAAATTGTGTTTATTTTGGATAAAAAATGGAAATTAACTTTAGTCAATTTAAAATTCATCAACACGTAGTTTAGTCACAATACAACCGTGACCGGGACTTAAACATTGCTAATAGTCATTCACATATACAGCCATGGTTATTGCAGAAATCCATTTGTTATGAACGTTCGTTTTGAAATTGCAATATTTCCGATAGTCCTGAATGCAGCGGAAGCGTTACGCGATGTCGCATGTACGCACGTCGGAGGCCACAACGCTCTGTGATTGGTCAGTGAACGGGATTAAAAGACCGCCCCTCCCCCTTCCTCTTTGTGGAGTTCCCCGACAACAACGTGCTCCGCTTAAACTCAAAATATTTTGGACTTTTTTCGGCTGTTTCGGCTCGCCTCCTCTACTCCCAACTGTGACTCACCTTTCTCGGACAGCGGTAGCGGGACACACAAGGTAGCCGTGTAGTCACACATATCTAGTTATTTACACCAAGCCCCCGAAAGACACTCTTTTGTCCGATTAAGAAAGTTTTACGACACTTTTAGCTAACGTTAGTCGGTCGCATTACAAAACGTAGTGCTAGCGTCATTAGCTTGTTAAGCTAACGCTGAGCTCGCTAGTCAACAAAACTGCAAGTGCGTTTTAATTGCAAACCGAACCCTGTCATACAGTCGGCATGTTTGTTGCTTGCCAGCACATTTTGGCGTTTAGTGAAGTTGTATTCCTCGAGTTAGTGTGAGAGAGTTAACTCAGGGGCCTCGGTTTGTGTGGGCCTCCTGCGTTAAGTTAATATTAGCTAACGTTAGCCACTGCGATGGTTTCTCGTGCTGTTTGTTTTGGGAGGCGCCAATTGTCTGTTTCCATTTCAAACTGGCTAACGTTAAGTGACGTATCCATTTCTCTTGTAGTGTATTTGTCTAATTAAATTGTCACCAACGTTAGTGAGCTGAAGGCCTAACTTGTTTTCAACTTAGTTAACTTGTATTTCCTGTGTGGCTGAAACCAGCATTTATTATTTTATCAATTAGAAAGTCAAACGTTTCCTGGCCTCATCTTCTAAAATGTAGGGATTTGCTAAGTTTCCCTCTTTTGTTATTTAATTGTAAATCAAATATTTTTGTGTTTTACTCAGACAAAAACAAACTAATTGGCTGTTGTAAATCACTATTTTCTGTCATTTAATTCACCTAACAATCGATTATTCATACACTTAAACTAATGAATTAATAATATAAATGAGTGCATGTCAAACACTAATTAGTTTAACAGGAAACTAGTTAAACTGATAATTTGATCAAGATGTTTTTACATTACCTCATTGGTCTAACTCTTACTTCCTGTTGATACCCTTCAGCACTCCGGAAATTTGGCTCTTCCTAATTCTTTCTCAACCGGAAAAGGAGGGGAAATAATGATGGAAGAGCAAGGTTTTGAAGGTTTGTCTTTGAGCCAGGCCCTGCCGCTCAGCCAGGACGACTCATTCAAAGAGTTTTGGAGGGGGTAAGTTGTGTTTTGATAGTAGATATAATTTGATGTCTTTCCATGTATTTTTTTCATGTCGGTTTACCACAAAAAAACAGTTAACCCGTTTGTTTTTGCAGATTAAAACCCTGTATCTCCACCATTCAAACGGTGACTGACGCGCCTCAGGAAACATGGACAGCTGGGAACATGTATGACTCAATCTCTCAAGTGCTGAATGAGGGCTTTGATGAGAATCTGTTTGAGCTGTCAATGGAGATGCCTACGACAGACAGTGTTACTCCCCCTTCCTCCACCGTCCCGGTTACAACCGACTACCCGGGGGAATATGGCTTCCAGCTTCGCTTCCAGAAGTCTGGCACTGCCAAGTCCGTCACCTCCACCGTAAGTAATCCCAGGCCTAAGATCTAGATCGTCTGTTGATTTCATGTATTGTAAACTGACTGGTGTGTGTGTGTGATTTAACAGAATTAAACAGAATGTAAATGTTGGACCACAAATATCAAAGTTCAACAGGACACGCAGCAGATTATCCTGCAACCACACTTGGCAAGGAGCAGCAGTTTGAGCCCCTTGTAGGAGACAAAGGGGATTTCTACAGATCCTCAGTTCCGCCAGTCACTCCTCAACTGAGTTTTTTCACCCATAGTTAAAAAAATAATTGCGTTAACTCTGCTCCTGTGTTGTTTTAATTCACTTTAATAAATCCAACTTTATTCAAAGATTTTCTTCAAATTTAAAGGTTTTACTACAGTTAACTCACTCATCCGTCTCTTAAGGTTTTATCACCAACACAGTTATTTAAACTTGTGTGTAAAACACAGAAATAGTCTTGAATAGACAGTTAAAATCTTACCTTGGAATCACGTGTAAAATCCGTTCTCTTGTAGATGACATGGTGGCATTCGTGTGGAATCTCATTCATTGTGACGATTCGCCAGATTGTGAGGTCCAGAGTCAGTCACTGCGTTTGAAGAGCCAATGGCATTAATGTTTGCTCGGTGACTCGCCCAGCAGTGGGCTGCAGTTGGCCGGTTTAGTTGAAGTTAGGGTGGTCTTCTCTGAGACTCCCGCCCCCCTGCAACTCCTGCTCTGGTCTGTGTGAGAGTTGCTGTCTGGTTGTAAAGCCCAACTCTGACATGACGGGACATGTTCCTGCGCTCTCTTCCTCCAGCACCGAATGGGTTAAAACGGACTAAAGCGAGGTAAAAATGTCCTTTTTCATCTGACATATCTGCCCTGGTTTGGAGAACCTCGCATGTAGTTTTTATTCTTTTGGAGAAGAAATAGTTTATGAGGACTTTTAGAATAGTGTTTAGTCCAGTTCTTGTCATTTGAATCCTCTCTTACATACTCTCACTTCTGTTGTCCCTGTGCTTTCTCTCAGTATTCAGAGAGTCTCAACAAGTTGTATTGCCAGCTGGCAAAGACCAGCCCGGTTGAAGTGCTCGTGAGCAAGGAGCTTCTTTTGGGTGCCGTTTTCAGGGCCACTGCAGTTTATAAGAAGACCGAACATGTGGCCGAAGTGGTCCGCAGATGTCCCCATCACCAGAATGAGGACGGTAAGGAAAATGTTTCAGTGGAAGAATGTTTGTCTTTGCTATAGTTTGACTGTGAGCCTGATTATATCTGAGGTGATTAAATACTTTTCTTATCTGTTCTCCTTTCAGCTGCAGAGCATCGCAGCCATCTGATCAGAGTGGAGGGCAGCCAGAGAGCTCAGTATTTTGAAGATCCGCACACAAAGAGGCAGAGTGTGACTGTCCCCTACGAGCCCCCACAGGTGCGACTGCCCCATTCGATTTGTCCGAGGGGGAACTTGTCTTCTATAGCAGTTATTTTTTTTTTTTTTTTTTTAACACTTCACATATCCTAATATGTGAACCTCGAATATTTTCTACGTGAGTATATGAACCGAAAACAGCGTGTCACATTTTAGCCTGAGAATTCAATGTTCATAAAGTACATTGTGAAACCATCCATGAATGTGTTTCCCCCCCAAAAAAGGCTGCATTAGGACTCCCAGAGGAGTCGATTAGGACTTAAATAATAAGTAAAGTTGCCCTTTTCCCCCCCGATTGTACACAATCATACCAGCAGTAAATACGATTGTTCTTCTCTTCCTGTTTCAGTTGGGCTCAGAGATAACGACCATCCTGCTGAGCTTCATGTGCAACAGTTCCTGCATGGGGGGCATGAACCGCAGACCCATCCTCACCATCCTGACCCTCGAGACTCCAGAGTAAGTGTTGCTTCTCTCTGAACAGATGTGAGGGGTTTGGTGGGGCTCTGGGTGTATCGTTTGGGTATAAAGAAGTTGTTTTGCCACTTTTTTTTTTTGCTAAGAATGTCCCTTCATTTGTTTGTGCTGCCTCGGAAAGCATTTTTTTTTTTTACTCTTTACTTCTTACATCTTCTTCCCAGGGGACTTGTTTTAGGCCGGAGGTGCTTCGAGGTGCGTGTCTGTGCTTGTCCAGGCAGGGACCGCAAATCTGAGGAGGAAAGTAAAGCCAAGATGCAGAGCGGCACCAAACAAACTAAAAAACGCAGTAAGTATTTGTTGCATTTCTCGAGGTTTCAGTTTTCCGCCTCGGCTTTCCGTTTCCTTGCTAACCTCACGTTTTGTTCCTTTAGAGAGCGGCCCTCCGGCTCCTGACACCACTTCCAAAAAGTCCAAGTTGGCCTCCAGTGCCGAGGAGGAGGATAAGGATGTCTATGTTCTGCATGTAAGTAAAGATGCGTACCGTTATAACGCTGGGCGTCTTTAGAAAGCGTTTCATTCTGTTTGATAAATCCCCTTTGATCTCCTGCAGGTTCGGGGTCGCGAGCGTTATGAGATGTTTAAGAAACTCAACGATGGTCAGGAGTTGCTGGACAAAGAAAAGTAAGAACTGCATCATTACTTTCAGTGGATTGAGCTTGTACCTTTATTATAGCATTATGATATATCTCAACATAGTCCACACATTAAGGCTGCTGCTCTTGTCATTGGTTATTTAAGAAATGTAAACTGTGTGTCTCTAACTGGATTTTAGCCTTAACTCCTCTGCTGTTTTTTAGAGATGACCTGCCACTAGAGGTCACTGCATATTTAAATCAAACCCACCTACCACAGGTCAACTGATTTCATTGTGTCATTAAAACCATTTCAATCAATCTGTCTTAATTCCCGACACTGGCTGGATTTGTCCTTTCTGTCCACAGCAAAACCAAGACCAAGGTGTCTGTGAAGCACGAGCTGGCTGTGCCGTCCAGCGGAAAGAGACTCCTGCAGAGAGGAGAGCGGAGCGACAGCGACTAAGAGGCTCGTCGTCTTCATCATGGGAACAAAATGTCCTCGCTTCCTCCTTCCACGTCATCGGGTTTATTTCAAGCTTTTACTTTAAAATCACCTCTTGTATGAGTACTCCAGAAAACTTGATTCAATAACTATGCTGCCTGATTGTTTACTGTACCAAGTGCTGGACAGTGTCTCGCTGTTTTTTTTTTTTGACGTTTGCCAATGAATAAAGGTTGACTAGATAACGCAGAGGAGAGCAGTTCATACTGTAAGCAGGTCTGCGTCGTCCTCAATGCCCTCATTGCATTTAGAGGTGTCCTGTGAAACGCTGCGACATCTTAAACTTTGAATCAGGAGTGTATTTCATCAGTGTTGATCTTGGCAGGGATTAGATTTTACATCAGTCATGTTACTCATAATGCATTATTTCGATTATGTCGAGTAAAACTGAAGAGATGTTTCTTGGTTTTTCATCGACTTTTGTTTTTATATTTGTCAAAAATAGTAATTATGATTTTGAGAAGCAGCTTGGTAAAATTAACAGATGTGTGGTTGCAAAAGGTCATAATAATAATAATAATAATAATAACACGAGTCACTGCCAGTCGTTTAAAGTCACACTACCTCCATTAATGTTGCGGTGTTACTGTACCAGTAGATCCTGCCACACTCTCCTGTAGGCTGTCAACCGGACCAAATGTTTCTGAGTAGATGTCCAACAATGAAAGTCAGAAATGGGAACAAATTGTGTGTTTTTTGGGGAAATGAACAGCAGATTTGGTAGATTATGGGGCTGGCTGGATCACCCCAAAAGTTAATCAGCTTTTAGTATTTGTAACTTTTTCATACAGCGCAGAACAGAAGTTGATACCGGTGGGAAAAAAAGAGCAATTTTGACAGAAATACAGGAAAATGTGGACAGTAAATTTGCAACGGAACACATACGGACATAACATAGCAAGAGAATCACCGTAAAAGGATTTATAAGGTGCAAACCACTCTGTTTAGATACCAAAACTATTTCCCGTTTACACTAATGTGATTGACATTTTGTCATTTCTGCTGACCATGCAATTTTTTTACTTATTCAGCACTTCAGTTTGGTGTGACCAATCACTGCCAGTCAATTGAACCACTTTTTCTTTTACACTGCCAAAAAAAAGAAGTATATTTTATGTTTTTTCTCTGTTTTATTTCTGTTTCTTAATGGATTATTTTGGGAACTTTAGTTTTGTAGAAGAGGTTTTTCTTTCTATATTTTTCATTGTTATTGTTTTTCACTTTTTTTTGTACTAATTTGCATTTTGTTACTAAAGCTTTAAGCAAAAAATAAATTCATAAAGTCAAACTCGTCTTGCATTCTGTTACACAACATACACAGTTATTGCACTATTCATGACATCACCCCTCTTTATTCATATTAGTACTTTGCATGTTGGGAGGATGCAAACCAGCAGCACATTTCTTGCCTCGTGTTGTTGCTAGTCAAATGAGCTCTTTTTTACCTGTTGATCGTCCGTGTTGCTGGAACAGTCGTGTGTTATGTGAACGTCTCTCATAGCGAGAGATCATTTCCTTCTGTTCAGAGAAGCAGGTCACAGCTGAAGCATCAATAGCCTGGGTGAGTAGTGAGACATGTTCGTTATTTAGTTTAGCTTCATGTAGCTTAGATGAATTTGATTTGGTTCTTACTTATTATTTCACAGCAGCAGTCCTGTGAAGCTTCCCTGAATCTATAGGATCCACAGGAATCCAACATGGGAAAGTTATATCTCAAGGAGAAAGTGTTTTTATTAATTTCTTGTGAGTATAATTTCCTCTTAATGGTATTTATCTGTAAAATGTCTTTTTAAAGATGGAAGAAAAACAGTTGAAGCTGCAGTTAATGATTATCATTATTAAACTAAATTCCTGTTGAGGATATAGAGGTACAGTATTCTGTTTGTGGGGTAACCGAAGACATTTGGTCAGAGCAAAAGCGATTAATCGATTGGTTGATGGAGAGAAATCTGAATCTGCAGTTATTTATTTTTTAAAATCGTTAATGTTTAATTTTCATGCCAAACATGCTCTCGTCCTGCCTCCCAGATGTAACAGTTGTTTATTTTTAGATCATATTTAAACTGAATATTTTTGAAGGTTGGGTAAACAAAATCTGAATTTAAAGACGTCGCCTTGGGCTCTGATAAATCGTAGACCAGTGCCTCACAAACAGCAAATCTTCTGTCGGTATGTTTCTCTTCAGCTCTGGTGTTGATGTGCAGCGCTGCAGAGCGAGAGTACTTCCGTCATGATTGGCGGAACCTCACGTGGGCTGAGGCCAGGAAACACTGCCAGGTACAACTTGAAGCTCAGTTTATGTGTCACATTGTCTGATTTGAAATTGTGTTTGCTGCTAGTTTATACCCACAATAAACTGAGTTGAAAGCACTTTTGATTATATTACCATAGCTGTACAAATGTTGAAATCATAACCGTTGATTTATTCATTTTAAGTTGTCACGAGAACAGTAGACTCATCAACACTGACGGACAGTTTGTCCATTTAGTTCAGGCCCGTACCAAACAAAACCATCTTAATCTCTTCACGTCCTGTCAGGTCTGTTTCAAAGAGCTGGTGACAGTGACACCTGAAAACATCAAAACCATCTCCCAGAATCTCACCTCTGACAGCTGGGTCGGCCTCCGCAAGAACTTCTCCACCGACAATTCCATTATGTCCTGGTCCCGCTGGGCCGACGGGGAACCCCTCATCTTCCAGAACTGGTACCCTGGTTGGCCTGTGTTCAAATCCTCCTCGGCAAAAACATTCTGCTCATGCAACTGTCCAGAAACGACGACGAGCTTCATCGGATTCACAGAATCTACAAGCACAGCTGTGCCCACGATGCCAGTAATGTCAGAGTGTGTGCGATCACCTGTGCTGTCGTCGGATGACCCCGAGACTACAACGAACTACATTGAAGACTCCTGCGTGGCTATGCTCAGCTTTGGGGCCTGGGTTGAAAAGAACTGCACCGAGCTTCTGCCTTTCATATGTTATGAAGGTAGGACTCATTGAAAGCCCTCTCTTTGTTGTTGCCCCTGGGATTTCAGATCGCTTTTCATTTTAGAACAGCCATTCGCCTCAACCTCTAACATTGCTATAGTCTAATTGTACTTATTCAGAATATACACCTTATGTTTGAACTCGTACTCTGTGTATTTTTACCTTCGTGCATGTCGCTGCTTCTTTGCCAATTACCAAATCTTCCCCTTATTTCAAACCTCAGATCGTTTCTGTGGCCAAGCCACGGTCACCAACACCACTTCTGGGAGCGCTATCCTCACATGGCTACCCGGGCCCGGTGACATCGACCTTTACCGCGTTGAAGTAACAGTCGACAGAGAGCTAAAACAATTCCAGACCAAAAATTTGACCTATGACCTTGTCAACCTGGCAGCCGGCACCCACTGCTCCATCCAGGTGTTCCCTGTTAAGTGCGGCAGAGACCTTGACCCGCAGGAGACCGCCTTCTACATCAGTGAGTTTGCCTCCTTGTTTGTAAAATCAGTTTTTTTGTCCTGTTTTAAGAGGACTCTGATCACCAATCTTTTTTTCAGTACCAAACAAAGTGGAAAACCTCAATGTCACCAACGTGACAGAAACCTCAGTCTACCTGAGCTGGAACAAACCAGCTGGAAACGTGACTTTCTATCTCATCGTGGTCCAGGGTGGCGAGCAGATTCAAAGTAACACGGCGGGAAAAGAAGTCGACAGTTTGACACCTGGAAACCTGTACACATTCACTGTCCTCTCCGGAGTCGGGGACGGTTCTACTTTGAGTGAAGGGACCAACGTCACAACATACACCAGTGAGTTTAACTTAACGCAAATAAAATGATTATAATGCCGGACAGGACTGATGCAGCTGTGTTACACTTTATGCACTTTTTACACAGGAAGTACACTGTATGAATGAGACCAGTGAAAGCACATCTAAAGCTTGTTTATTTGTTAAATGAGGAAGCAGTTGGTTATTTGTTTCTCCCACAACATAAAATTCAAATCGGCGGATGCAAATTAGAGCCCCATCTGACCAGAACAGTGGCACCTTGTGAGACCGTTACTGACGTGGTTGTCTATTCATCTGTCTTTCAGAGCCTGGGAAAGTGTCCGACCTGAAGGTGTCTCAGAACACCATCAACTCACTGCAGCTTAACTGGCAGCGACCTGAAGGAAACGCCACAGGTTTCAGGGTGATGGCCATGAATGACAGTAATCTGTATGTATTTGTGGATGGACAGTCCAGACTGTACTTGCTTCCTTTACTTTTAAATTCAGGTATATTTATTTAATACAGTCTCACATGTATTCACAAGCAGACGCCAGGTGACGTTACGTGTAAAACAAAAATGCACAAATAGATGCAAAGTGTTAAAAGGTAATAAGGTAATAAGACCCAAGTTTAGATAAACTGATATTGTCTTTTAATTTCTGACAACTACACACAAGATACATCGCTGCTTCTGCCTGCCGCAGTTTGAGTAGTAAGCGACTGCTTCTCTTCCTCACAGCACGGTGTTTGATAAAAACGTGGACCAAACAGAAGTAAAAGTAACACCGCTGCCAATGGGCACCAAGATAACCCTCAGTGTGACGGCACTGACGGCCAATAACACCCTGGAGGGAGACAAAGTGACCGCCGTCGACTACACCGGTAACTCTGGGCTAATGGTTTAGCCTCTTTTGTTGGCCGATTGCTTGACAGAAACAACAAAAACTCTGTCCTGCTGTGTTGAATATCACTAATCTGACTTTGTGACTCCTGCATAGCTCCTGGACGAATTACAAACCTGATTTTGGAAACCACATTTCACTCCCTCACTGCCACGTGGATGTCATCTGCGGGTACTGCTCTATCTTTCATCGTCAAGCTCCATCTGGACGGCGAACTTGTAAAGACAATACAGAACCTCACTGAACCCAGGAAGAGCTTTGACGGACTGAAGGCTGCAGCCAATTACACAGTGATTGTCTCCACCTTTAGTGGACATGTCGAAGGCGCGCCAGTGGGAAGCTCCAACTTCACCAGTGAGTCACTTTTGGCGCTCGTTGTCTTTTCTCTGTATCTGTGTTTTAAGTCATAATTCTTAACACGCCGGTGGTTGATTTGGCGATAACCTGGTTACTGCTTCTAACAGCAAGTGAGATTCAGAAACACAAGTATTACTGACATAAGATTAATAACAGTGCAGGGAATGTCAGACTCCGACACTAATAAATAACAATACTTCTATATAAAGAGTTATTTACAGAATGTAAATGCATCAACTGGCTGCCAAAATGCCAACTTAATAGTTTCACAAATTGTGTACGATTCCTGAAAATCTATAACTTTAAAATCTGCTACTACAATCTTTGATCGAAGATATGAAACATTAATGATGAAAACACTTTGACTGATAATCGCTGCCTCATTTTCCCTCCCTTTCCCTTTCTCTTTTTTCCAGGGCTGTTGCCGCCTACTGATGCCAAGAGGATTTCCTCCGATAAACGACAGATCACCTTCGAGTGGACTACGGCTGAAAACAGAGCAAAAGTCAGTTACTCTGTCAGAATCAACGCCAGCTTCTGGGGCCACGACTATTCTGCTGTTGTGGATGACAAAACCAGCTACACGTTTGATAACTTGACGTCCGGGACTAAGTACACCTTCGAAGTGCGAAGCGAGGCGCATGGACAGAGCAGTACTCCGGCAGTTGTGTCACATTGTACAGGTGAGACTCTCAGGCCTGAAAAACCAGACAGGCTGTTGTGCACACTTTAGCCTATTAGCAGCTAACTATGTTGCTTTGTCGCTGATGGGCATTATGTATTCTTCCAGATGCTTATTCTACAGTATGAATGAGAGTGTGCCTCTTTGTTTTAGCTTCCTCTTCACACATCTCACAGTCTCGCTTTGTTCCCCCAGATGCAGAGAAAAGGGAAGTCAGTCTGTCTATGTTGTGCTCCTCGACCGAGTCTCTCTTCTGTGATAAAGACACCACGAGGGACACTGTCTTTGAACAGGTATGTCAATCACCACGGTGGCAAAAACAAAAACAGGGTTTGGGAGGTAAACTTAACAAGCAAAAGGTTGTTTTATTCTACAAAATACTCTTCTCTTCTAAAATAGTCAAAAAGTGCAGATTATCTGGAGTATGTGTGATAAGGACGGGCTCACTTTTGTGTTTTATAAACACAGTTGCTTTTAGAAGTCATGTCCATAAACAGATGGTGTTTGTGTGTTTTGTTGCAGTTACGTGAACATTTCAACGAGCTGTTGGGGGACAACATTTTCTGGAAACTGGAGAAGCTGGAAGGAACACAAGAAGCCTAATTACTTATTATTATTACTGTTGATTAATTGGTATTGGTGAAGGTATTTTAAGTGTTTTCTATCTTGGGTTTTTTTGCACTGTACTGCTGCTCAGGAAATATTGGGCCACATTGTTTCATATTTAGTGAAAAGCATTCAGATTTTATTTAAATCTAGTTCCAAGTTTACCGAGCTGATCGTGTCTTTTTTATTTAGTATTTTAATTTTAACAGCAAAATAATAATAATATAAAAAACTATTTTATACTTTTGCTGATTTCCTCTTGTTTTAAATGTCTTTTATACGATTGTTTTACCTGGATGTTGTTTTGCATACACGGCGCATTTCCACCAGGAATAGAAAATAAAAGATGCAATTGATGATAAAAAAAAGACATTTGTTGGTAAGTAAACAGAAAAAGACTTACTGGGTCAAAATAGTAAAGTAGTGAGTCAAATACTTGACTCAGTAAGTTCAAATCATGAGATAATAAACCAAACATTTCACTTACTAATTCAAAAATACAATGAGCATTTTTGTTTTTACCATGTTTAACTGTTTATATTATTTCCTTCCTGGCAGAAATTGGCTTCCTTTCTTCAGTAAAACAATTAAGAATTTATCATGTTCAAGCGCTCAATAAAGATTTCCAGATCAAGGTCCAGGTTTGTGTTGTATTTCTGCACATAAAACCCCTCCAGGCTCTGAGACGGTGCCGTTTATAAATAGTTACCACACACATTATAAGATGTCGGTACACCCTGACGGCTTCCTCTGTTAAACGCCACACAAGCAATGCCGAAGAGAACGGCTGTGATATGAGGAAGGGGCGGAGTGGTCACATTTCATTCAGCTTAAATGTGTGAAAGGGAGAAGGTGTAAATATGAGTCAACAAGCATGTGAAAGCAGTCAAAGTACGAGGAGAAAGAGCATCAAACTGCTGCATGGAGTTGAGAAACCAGGAGGAGGATGCAAAGAGGGAAACACCTGCAGGTTAGTTATAAAAAGCATCTCTACGACAACTAATGTAACAAAACTGCAATTTTATGTGAAGAGTTTGACCGAAATTCAAAGACGGAGCTTTAAAAAGACGACACTCCAAAGCAAGAGTCAATAGAAGAAACTGAAAGACTCTGAGCTGTGTTGTACTGTGACTTGCTGTTCAACTTGTCAGTACTTTGTGTACCTCCCCAAATATTTCACCTGCAGGCTGAACAATAACAAGCGAAGCTGCTGAAAGTACAAGTTTACTTCTGCATCAAGTGTCACAGTTTTTATCTTAACGGGTGTCAGAGGCCAGAGGGTAAAAGTGTGCACACATGAACTACTGATAAGCAAGTCATGATTTGATAAATACTTGATAATTGATGTGTGTTTTAGTCCTGAAATCACTGGTTAACATTGTCACTGTTTGTATCATCAACATGTAGAGAATATAAAATGTCATCGTCAATGACCGAGTTGTTTTTTTTCATGATTGTTGACGTTTTGTTTTTTACCACCACAGATGCAAGATGCTGTCAAACATGTCGGCTCACAATTCGAGTGGTTATTGCCGTGGCAGCAACAATCCTGGTCTCGGGACTTATTTGGTGTTTCGTATTATTTGGTGAGTATGAGTATCAGAGAATACCTCCTTTTCCTGTCACAACTATATTGTTCTTGAAATTACGACCCATCTTGAAGTAAATGTGGTGACAAAGTGAAACTCGCATTAAGTTACTTGTGGTCATTTGTCAAAATGAATTTGTCAGCCACGTGGACGGCAGCACCAGAAGTGGATCAGACCTCCAAAACGTCAGGAGAGGAGATGATGACGGAGCGACTGCAGCAGTGCCAAAAACAGCGCCATGATGTTGACCTGATGCTCCACGCTGCCACTCGTGGTGATTTACATGCTGCACATTGTGACATCTAGTAGATTTAACGGATGAAGTGGTGAAGGCTCTCCTGAAATGATTATATCGAGGATCTTTACCCTATACTTTCATCCTCCTCCTGCTGTTTGTAGACTCCAGGTGCAGTTTGTGTCCAGACGGATGGCGGTGGTGGAGGAGTCGCTGCTACTTCTTTTCAGTGGGGCTGCAGGAAGATCGTCGGTGGAACGAGAGCGCTGAGTTCTGCCTGCAACACAACAGCAGCCTGGCTGTGATCAAAGACTCTGCAGAGATGGTAGGAGAAGGAGAAGGGGTAACCAGACTGGAAACACTTGGTAGCATTTCTGTCCCCAAAATGGAAATAAAGTCCTGTAAATGTTGCTTCCTCCTCAGGAATTTATCCAAAGTGTGATGAGGACGTTCCCTCACTTGCCCTTCATGTGGATCGGACTGACAGACGCTAAGCAGGAGGGTCAGTGGCTCTGGTTGGACGGGACAGACATCCAGCACTCCATGCCGTAAGTCCAGAGGGACGGGCACAAACGTTCTTCACATGAAGGATTGAATAACAGAGATATTGAGCATCTTAGCACAACGGTGACAGGAGAGATATATAGGAGAATATCCTGTAGATCAGCTTTGAGACATTCCTCACTGCAAGATAGGTGAACTATTATCCTTTGTTTTTCTACAGAATCTACTTAAACCAGATTTGCAGGCACCATTATGGTAACTGGCACATTAACATCACAGCTCAAACAAACTGTGCTTATTTATGTATCCCATTTTAGACATTTGTTTGTGAATACAAAAATATTAGTGAAGATGCAGTAGAGAGAAATCATTTTATTTATCCCATGGGGGGGAATTTCAGTGTTACAGCAGCATCCAAGTCAGGCAAAACACCAACAAATGAAAGAAACAAAATACGACAAATTAAAAAATAATAATATATAATATTTATGGGTTTGTAATTAATAATGTTTTCTTCAGAAAGTTTCCTGCATAGAACTACGTAATATGGTACTGATTTGATAAAAAACTTCTTAAGAGTAGCGCTGCTTTTAAACCCAAGTCAATATGAATTCACTCATTGTGGGAAACATTGTTCTTCATACTGTATATGTCGAATCTTTATCTTGTCTGTTGACAAATTTGACATTTTTGAATGTTCAGCTGGCCTACTGTGCATTAATTGAACACTGTATTTACAGTATTTTACCGTCATTAGTATTAAATTACATAGTTCTTAGCAGGAAACTTCCTTGGAAACTCCTAAGAGATACAGACCTGTAACATAATGAATAAAAGATGAGAAGACCAAACGCAGAACCATATTGAATATTCACTGAACAATGACAGAGCCAGTAACTTTAGCTCTTATAACCCAGTAGACATTGATAGAAAACACATTCCTGACCTGTACTGGTGTATTTTCATAAACATCATAAAACATATATTTCAATTCTGTTTGCTTTACTAAGAAAATATAACACATTTATATAAGCATATGCACATATACACGGACATACAACTGATTCTATCTTTCTACATGTAATGTAAGTATTTAATACGCAATATTTAGAAGCTTCTCACTGTTCACCGTGTGACGGCCCGTTCTGACGGGGAACTTAAGCCGTTATATCCATCTGTGCTCTTTTCAAAGCAACCAGACTCCATTGACAAAAACAGTACTTTGACCTCACAGAACATGGGTTGCTGGTCTACCGCTGCCTCGACCGGTTTGTTTGTGTTATTGCGTGACTGCAGTGAATCCAAACTAACCCTTTAAAACACCAAATCCACACAGTAACAAACTACAACGCTGTCCGGTGTCCTCTCTCATCACCTACCTGTGTGTTCTGAAGGGGGACGGTGGAGTGGGATGCTGATCACAGGGACTGTGCAGACCTGAGGGGAGGTGGGAGTCTCTTCGCCTCCAGCTGTGAGGCTTATGGACCCTGGGCGTGTAAGAGAGACTCCTGACACACATCTCCATGTAAAGCGATGTATTTACTTGAGGGATAAAGTCAGCTCTGCAGGGGGGGGGGGGGGGGGGGGGGATGGATTTGTAGAAGGGAATAAGAGGGAGAATTTGGTTTTTTTTTTTT